TTGGCAGTATTTAGACCTGCCTTGCCAGTTTCTTTCAGTGGCAACATGACATAGTTGTAATAGAGCAACCTGCACTAAGATCATTCCGTTGGTTTGTGCTCATACTACCCAAAACCAGACCCTCTGGATCTGCTTTCTAAATCAGCTTGCACAAATCTTAGTGCTGCCTTTGTCCAACAAGCTTTTGCATCTCTTTGCCTGCAATTATATGAACACTTGTGCTGCACATGACTTGTGGGTGTGCCAGCCTGCTCTGCTGCACCCTACACCCTCCTGCAAATGTTACTTGCCTTTGTGTCAGGAAAATATCTTTCCACTTTCTGGTATTGCTGTCCCAACACATATGAAGTGTCAGTTAGGGACCATCTCACTTGATGGAATTAGCAAACATGTATTTGAGGATTGGATTTTGCTGTTCTGGAGCATCTTGTGCTTCCAGACCAATAGGTTATGGATGACAAAGTTTCCAGATGCATTTTCCAGCTTTTCTCTGTGCAAGAGGCCTGGCCCATAGCCATGGGATCATGGCAAAATTCCAGAGGGAAAACTCGCAGCCCAGAAGCTATAAACAGCACCCTCCTATAGACTTTGGAGAAGGATGGATGATGCAGACTCTATTCAAAATAAGTGTTGCTCAATACTCTTGTTTAACCCTCACTGACATTTATTCTTCTCTCAAGAACAGTCACTCGACTTTCAGAATTAAGCAAGCCAGGATTCCAAATTTCTTTCAAAAGACTTTCTAGTTCCCTCTCTATTGTAGAAATCCTTTAATTCTTGTTTGGCTCATATGGATATTTCTTGGGCATATTTCTTGACCAGATGGACACATTTTGGGCAGTGTGTGCAGGGGTGCAGTTGCAGCCTCACCAGTGCCTTCCCATTGCGTCGGCACAACCTGCCCTCCACGGGCTGTGTCTCAGTTGACAGATTTTCATTTGCATTTCTCTGTCTCATGTTTGCATCCTGTTGCACCTCCAACCATTCTGTTTCAGTAAATGATCCAGGTGTTCAGAGTGCTCTGCTGTTTCCATCACCTGGAAGCAAATTATCCCCATTTGGCCCCCAGCAGAGCACTTCATACTCTGCCCTTTTACTCAGAACACAAGGGGATAAGATCTTACACATTCTTCTTTCTTAGTAAATAGAATTCAAATGTCTTTTATTCAATTTTCCACCTTCCTTCAAATCTTTTATTATTTTCTCTCCAAAATGTGTCCCTCAGCACTGCAATATCCTTAATTCAGGTTAGAAGTCTCTGATTGCTTCAATTGCTTATTACCTCCTTTTCAAATACAAGTATTGCATTTAGGTTGGATTTTGTGGATTTTTTTTATCTCCTGCTACCTTTCCTGATTTGACAGGTTCTCACAAAATCCTTACTGAGAGATCTGCAGGTTCATGTGCCAGTTCTCAACAGGATTTTTGAAAAAGGTTACTCTGGACCCCAACTGCATTGTTTTAATTCACTTCTGTGTCCATCCAGGGATGTACTCGCATTTCCATTCAAACTTTTTTGTCAGCCAAGGAAAATACAATCCCACATTTTCTACAGTCTTCACTAAAAATGAAGATTTCTTACCTGATATTTATCATATATATAGAGAGATGAACTTTAACCCTAAAGTTGTCCAAAACCTCATCTCTGCCCCATTTTGAACCTAACTCTCATCTTTACTTTTTCTTCTTCTTTCTTATGCAGCCAATAACTTGTGTCAGCTTCCTATTCATGGTTTAGTTCTCTTTTACTCTAGAAATTCTCACTCATTTTGTTTTCTGACATTTAAACAGTAGCTTTCTTTTAGCACAACCCTTCCTCCTACTCCCTCTAAGCTCTCTGCTTTTTGCTAGTACTCTTTCTTCAGGCAGTTATTTATCTGTTTGGGTTTCACTCTCTGTACATGAGACAGAGGCCCCAATTTTTTCTTTTCTCTTTTTCTTTTTTTTTTTTCTCACTTTGAATATGTCATTTTGATCAAAAACCACTAGGAGGAAGCATTCAACAAGTTTTGTTGTCCAGATGCAGATCTTGGTCAATTTTATTAAACTGAAATAGTTTTGAGCAGGAACCAAGGGGCCTGCTGGGTCACAGATCTCCTGGAAAGTGTTGTGTCACATAATTCCTTGAAGAAATGTGTAACTATGCACCTTCCAGTCAAACTGGTTTCTCTCCTCCTGCTAAAAGAGTTTCATGACTCCATCCTCTGAAGAACAGAAACTATTTCTAATTTCTAGGTTAATTTTCTTGCTGAATATTCAATTTGGTTTTTAAACACTTTTCTCCCTCACTCATATTTCCCCACCTGTTTTATTTACTGAGATCTTCGATGCATCCTCTCAGCTGTTATTTCTAGCTTGAATAAACTAAATCTGAATCTCTTTTCATATCACGGATTGTTATTTATTGTAGCATTACTTCTCTGCACTTGATCTGGTTTTAATTCATACAAATTTGTTGAATTACAAAGATCTCTGGCAAATGGGAAGGAAAATGTTGCTTTTCTTTCATGTGCAGTAGGAGTCTCATATCATGCAGCCCCATCCATTTGCAAAAGAGCTGAGAAACACTCTACATTATTCACATGATCCCATTAATGATAGTCTCAGTGGTAATAGTCAGTCTAGCTTATGTTACAGGTCCTGTTTTTTGCTGAAGAAAACAGCTTTTTATTCATTAGCTCCATTAAGTCCTTTTTCTTTTTTCCCCTTTAGCTCTTTTGACTGGCTTGCAAATATTCAAGGCTTTTCCTTACTTTGATTTTCTGTGAAAAAATGCATGTGCTTTAGGCAGTAAAATGAAGTCCACTACAGAAAGGTCCATATGTTTGGGAAATCTCATGTCCTTTGTTGGTCTATTCATTGTTCTATATCAAAGGAACAAACAGAAACATCATGGTTTTGAGCTGGTGTTTCTCATTTACTGTCGAAGGAAAAAGCTCTCAGGCCTCAATTTTTTGTTGTCTACTAATAACTTCTTTAAAAATACACTATTTGGGGTAAAATTTGTAAGTGACATACAGTTTATGGAAGAGGAAACTGTTGAAGAGATCAGGCTGTTAATGCACTGCTCTCAGAATAATGACTAAAAGGGGACATACACATAGAATATTGCTCTGTATGACCAAAAAGGGCAGCAATCCATCTAGAAACAAGACTGTATGCCACATAGCCATCATGGGAAACTAGGATTTTGGTATGGACATTGGTAGGATTCAAAACTAGGAGATTCAAAGGAGCAGCAGGAGAATGTGCAATATTATTATTTTCTAAGAGTACATTTTCTAATTGCTGTGCTTATATTCAGAATTTTATCTTTCAAATGGTTGGGACCTTCTTGAGGTTTGGAAGACCTTCTTGGAGCCTTTCATTGTATATAGAGGGTTTATAAGAAAGATGGAGAGAGACTTTTTGTCAGGGCCTGTACTGACAGGATGCGGGGCAATGGTTTTAAACTGAAAGAGGGTAAGTTGAGCTTGGACATAAGGAAGATATTTTTTTACTGTAAGGATTAGAGCATGGTGCTAATAATGCCAGAGTTGTAGGTTCAATTCCAGAATGGGCTATTTGCTGAAGAGTTGGATTTGATGATCCTTGTGGGTCCCTTCCACCTCAGAATATTCTGTGGGTCTGTGATTCAAGGCATTGGCACAGGTTGCCCAGAGAAGCTGAGGATGTCCCATCCCTGGAAGTGTTCAAGACCAGGTTGGATGGGACTCTCAGCAACGAGAAATGAGAAACCATCTGCGCAGGTAGTTTCATGAAAAGTAGAATTTATGATTACATCCTTAGTCTCGTGTTAACCCCTGACCCAAATGCTTCAACACAGGTTTCCTAATTGCCCACATTACTCATACTTTGGTTGCTTCTAATCTTTGCAGGAGAGGGAAAGCTGGTTCTCCCTTCAGAGAAGCACAGGCAGAAGGGGGAAAGGCTCCTACCTCCAATTTGCCATGTCTACCTTAGGCCTCATACCATGGCAATGGATGATGCTCGCCACCATGAGCAAGGACAGCTCTGATGTGTCCCACATGGAGCTTCCCAGCCTTGGTTTCTAGTGTCTAAGGGAGTAGCTGAAGTGATGGTACCAATTTCCTGCCAGTGGAAATGCTTATTTTTGTCTCTCTTCTCTACCACATTGTCAGGAATTAAGTTGAACACAAAACTTATCCATTAGGTGAAGTTTGAGGAAAGAATGAAATAAACACAATTTGTTATGGGGTGACTGACAGACACAGGGCACAGCCGCCTTCCCTTCACTGCCAGAGGAAACCAGGTTAAAAAAAATAATCTTCACAGACAAAACATAAAGCAAGGTTTTGCTGTGCTCAGTACAACTTCTGTAATACTAGGAGTTGTATTTATTATTTCATTAAACTTCAATAACACAACTACAATAACACACATGCCATGATTTATTCTGTAAATTGATCACATGGGAAGAAGTCCACTATACTGTGGCATATCTGTGGATCATGCAGGGTCTATGTTTGTGGCACATCTGTCCCTAAACATTGAAAAAAAATAAATTAAAAAATCAGCAGCCAATTGCTAAACAGGTTTATAATGAAAATGTCAATTAGGAATGGAATAAGAGTAAATTTTAGCTCCTTTCCATTCCTCAATTGATGCTAATATTCATTTTCTGTTCTCCAGTAGATCCATTGGTGCTTGGGCTTTTCTCTGCTTCTGGCACCAGCAAAGTGTCAGCAGAGGTCATCTGTCACTGCTGTGAACACGCTGCAGCACTCGGGTACTGTGGGACCTGCTCTGCAGTGGGATGCCCTCGATCAAACAGATCCAAAACCTTTCTCCAAATATGTAAATATTGAAGAAAACTGGACACAGCAGAGCCAAAGGCCATGATTCACCAGCTACCATAAGTAACTGATCCCCACTAACAGACTTCTTTTCACAGGGAGGCTGCCTCAGCTGACACGTATTTACAGTATCATCTTCTGTGAACATTTAAAAACATTCTTAACGACTTTGTCACTGATGAACTATTTAATGTCTGGAGATTGCTGATTACCTGTTATTTCTTCATTCTCAACCACAAGATTGCCACTACTCTCTCTTGTGACACTGTCATATGATGGAGGAAGGGATACTGAGGACAAAGTTTCAGACTTGTTAGGACTCCTACCATAGTTTGCAGCCATCATAGATGCAATAAGCCCCTCATTCTCTGGAGCAGCCTCTCCCAGAGTGTCAGCACTGCAAGTTCTGCGGTGGTACAGGTAAGAAGCCTGTTTTAAGGAGCGTAGGAGCAGGTGACTCCTGTAGGCACGTTGGATGACTGTGGCACAGGCTTCCTCCTGTCTGTGCCTGAGCGTGGTGGATATTGGCTCATAGGACTGTTTTGATGGGTTGGCAGCCATGAACTTCTCCTCCATTTGTACTTTTAGAGTATCCAACTCCCCAGAATCTCCCAACACTCTCTTGGTAAAAGCAAACAAGATATCCAAGCAGTGTATCTTGTCCCCACTGACCAGAGGCAGGTCCATGGCTGTGAGTTCAACTTTGTTTGGTTTTGGTACACGTAAAGGTTCAGCCAGAGCATCTGCGAAATCTGAAAGCGCAGAGAAAGTTATAAATTGAGTTGCCTCAGGATCAAACTTCTCCCAGATTTCATAAAAGATGTCAAAGTCATCTTCCCCTAAAGGCTCTGTACTTTCCTCAGTAGCAACATTGAAGTTCTCCAGAATAACAGCTATATACATGTTTACAACAATGAGAAATGATATAATGATGTAACTTACAAAATATATAATACCCGTGGCAGGTTTACCACATTCACCTACAGTACCATGTATGCTTGGATCACAGTATGGTGGCCCAGTGTTTAAAATAGGACTGAGAAGAAGATCCCAGCCAGCTGATGTGGTGATTTGGAAGAGACAGAGCATGCTGTTAGCGAAGGTTTGGAAGTTGAACATGTCATCAATGCCATCGTCCATCTTCACATAGGCAAAGTTAGCCATGCCAAAAATGGCATAGATGAACATGACCAAGAAAAGCAAGAGGCCAATGTTGAACAGAGCGGGCAGGGACATCATTAAGGCAAAAAGCAGAGTCCGAATTCCTTTGGCAGCCCGGATGAGTCTCAGTATTCGTCCAATCCGAGCCAAGCGAATGACCCTGAAGAGTGTGGGTGGTAAGATATGCTCAAATGCTTTGCCGATGCTAGAAAGCAGTAGGGCTAAAATGGAAAGGATAACAACTGGTTAGAACATCACATTTCTGCTTAAGTGGTAAGTGGGATGGAATGACAATATCTCCACAGTTGGAAAATATCTGAGGTGTGCGTGCTAAGACCCTGCCAGAACAACCTTTAGCAGCAGTTGAGTTGAAAATATAGTTGTAGAAATCAGCAATTGAGAACTACATTTCTCAGCCATCAGAAGATCCTTTGCTCTAAGGACTGCAAGCACCTTTCTATGCACAACTTAAAATATCTGCATCAGTTGACGCTTGATGACTGATGGTTTTCTTTGACACTGATTGCATGAATACATCAGCAGGTGCAGGTTATGTTCTTACCTTCTATATTTGACTCCCAATACTGACACTATACAGTTGAACTAAGAAAACAAGATGTAATACAATGTCATGGTCATCATTTAGATAATATAGGCAAGATATGTATAAGCAAACACAGTGATGAACACAGAAGTTGTGTGTGCCACTCTACAATGGCTTTTAATTCATTCCAGGACCTAGCTACACATGGATGTTATTTTTTTTCCTTGTTTGATTGAAAAAAATTACATCTAGTAGCACTAGAAGAGATTTGGCTTTTCTAGGTTTACCTGTTTTGGGTACATTTTTCTGGATTCCTCCTCAGGAACTTAATTTCTCAAGAAAGAGCCATAGTCTTACTGGAATTTTGCTTACCCAAAACATAAGTCATACCAAAGAAACAATTTTTTTTTTTCTTTCCCTAGATGCCTTCTGCTATTTGGCAGTACTGGCCTTAGGAATAAGTTAAATTGGCAGAAAGGTCAAATTGGCAAAAGAGCTCTTTTTCTTATTTGTCTATTGCAATTCCTTCAAATAAAAGCTAACACATTTTTGGTCATCTTTTCTGTGCTGTTTAACAGTATGAACCTTTGTTTTCAGTCAACAATGCCTGAGTTGGCAGAAACTGAATTCTATAGTCTATAATTTAATTCCAGTCTTCCTATTCTCTATATATTTCAGTTGTCTGCCACAAACAAACATGAAAAAACCCAACAATTTGATCTACTTGAAGATTTCCTAGTTGGCATTAAGTCTGTGTCAATGGAATTATCACATAATGTGATACTGCTATGGTGGGTTTTTCATTCTGTCTTTCAGACTAGGGAGAAAAAACAACCTAAAGAACCATTATGAAAGATTTAATGTAAGAGTTGTCTTTTATATATATATGTATATGTAAAGAATAGGGGATGAGTGGGATTGGTTATTTTTTTCCTTAAGACTTTTCGTTATGACTTACATTTTAATGTCCATTTGAAGTTGATAAATTTTACCTATTTTTTTTCCGTAAGTAGTAATAATTGATTCAGTAAAGAATTTGCCAAACAATTTTACTTACCAACAAGTGACATAATAACAACCACTAAATCAAATATGTTCCAGGCATTTGAGAAATAGTATTGCCTCAGAGCCACCAATTTCAGGACACACTCTGCAGTAAAGATGACAACGAAGAGTATATTGATTTTGTTCAGGACATTCGTCTTCGTTTCACTTTGCTCATAGGTTTCCACCATCATCATGATCATGTTAAGGCAGATGAGAACCATGATGACAACATCAAAGGTTTGGCATGTTACAATGTCAAAAAGGAACCCTTGGTATCTGTTCTAGAGGAAAAAAAAAATATATCTGACATCAGTTATGGAAGTAGGGAGTACTCATCTGTGCGTGTTTCCAACAGCTTCAGGTTTTATGTCGCAAAGTCACTCAACTACAGTGAAGTCAGGAGAGATTTGAGAGAGGCAGAACATAAAAATGACATTAAAATTCCCTTCTCATCCCGAAGTTTAATCAGTTCCAAGGTGAATGTAAAACCTAACAATATTTATGCAGAGAACTTAATAAATATTTAACCTGTAAAATAATTCAGTCAACTTTTTGGTGTGGAATTGACTTTAGAGCACCGTGTGAGCATCAATGTAAAGACAGTATAAATAATTTACATGCAATATATGAACACATGCACTTTTCAGTGAATTAAATTGCACTTTTGCAGTACATTTTCCTTTTGAAGAACACTGTCTTACCAGTGGTCTCGGAATGGGTTTTTGAGGTTTCTTGGATCCCAACTTTTTCATTGCATTGTAGTATTTTTTCTGTTCTTCTGTCATAAAGATATCTTCCCCACCTAAGTATACAAAGAAATGTCACTGTTATTTGGTGAGAAAGCGGCACTATTGTAGTTGCAAAGTCTAAAATTCAAAACACAACCAATATACTTATCTTTTTCTTTTGTTGATTGAAGTTGTCAATAATAACACCAACAAAGAGGTTCAGGGTAAAGAAAGATCCAAAGACGATGAAGACCACAAAGTAGAGATACATATACAGATTGTGCTCCATTTCTGGCTGGTCATCTTTCTGAAAGAATAAGAAGCAACTTGAAAAATAACCAATAACAACATGGGCCTAATTCAAAACAATCTTCATATTGCTGGTCCTCTCACAAATTGATTCCAGGAGGAACTACGATTTATAATCTTACTGCTAACTCTGATAAAATTGGTATGGTTTAAAACTACCTATAGTGCATAATGCCAAATTTTACTCATTTATGACAGTTTTGAAAGGGGACAAAGCTAACAATCATACTGTGACTACTAGATGAATCAGAATTCTAGGACCTTATAGGACCATTATTGCTCAGATGCTGACTACTACCCTGTTTGAATTCAATTTGAACTTTATGAAATGATGCACCAAGCAAAACACCTGAGACGTAACTAACCAGAAAATACATCTGGAAATAATAGTGCTACAAAGTGTTTATGCTATGAAAACTTGTTAACTTGACTTCTTTTACAATGTTTGTTTATGTAATTTCTGGCTAAAGCATTGTAGAACACAAAAATTTCATTATTATTGAATATATTTCCACTGAAAAAATTGTAGAGCATGACCTAGTCTTTGATTAACAGTAAATTAGGTTTACTTTCATTTATTTTCTATTTTCACAGAAACTGATTGTTGTGGATTTTGTTCTGTTTTCTTTTCAAACCTGACCTAAATTTCCACCACTTGCAATTGATTGAGGTCCTAATAAAATCAGTAGAAACAGTTACTGAATTAAATATTCTTGACATAATTTTCACAAACATTTCAGAAGCACCAGTTCAGCTCCTTCCAATAAGAACAGGAGTTGTAAATTGCTCAGCACTTGAAAAATCAAGCAAACTATTTAGAAGTCAATTTCCAAGCTCTTGCCATTAAAAATCTTGTCCTAGTTATGTTGTTGGTTTTTTTTCTTTCTTAGCCAAAACTTCTGTGATGGTTATTGTGAATAAAAACAAAATCAGAAGAAAAATAAATTTTCATATTGAAGCACAAAGAAAAAAAAAACATTGAAACACAGCCAAAAACATTTTAATATACGGTTACTTTTAAAATTCTTTAATTCCTTTGAACTCATGATGAAATTAAAAAAAGCCTCTTCATTTCAAATTCTTTGCTTCCAAAGACATATCACTTTGTTGTGTGTAACACTGGATGATACCTTTGATAAGACAACAAACATGTCTGGCAATATAAAAGGTAGGCAAAATAGTGCTATTGATGTCTCAGAATGTATTTCAAATGGCTGCTTAGCCACAATAGTTTGATTCTTGAGGAAGTTTGGGTTTATGTTTTGAAGTGGACTTTAAACCATGTCAGTGTAAAACATTCAGGTTTACTCCAAGCTTGAGATTCATAAAAGATGTTTAAAGGTGGCTGGCAAGAAACTCAGCTCCCCTCTAGCTGATGGACATCCAGTTATTAGCAGAGTAAACGTAGCATAAAGTGGTGCTCAGCTGAACAATATAAATATCCAAGGTGAGCTGAAATGTTCTCTAGATCCCTCTGAGCATATCAATTAGATCTCCATTTACCACACAGGGCAGTTGGAGAGGAACTTACACGGAAACTTTATACTAGAGGAACAACATGGTTGGATCTGAGCTGAAACCCTGCCCCCATTACAACAGAGGAGCTTTAGGATTCTATGATTCGTTTGCAGATTAAATGTTTACATCAGCTGATAATAAATAATTACTGGAAAGATTTAGCACAGACAACCAGCAGTCGTAGAAGTGCAAAACTAATAATGCATTTGCAGGAAGCAGTGGCATTAACAAAAAACATGATTTGAGTACAATGACTGACCTCTCGTGAATCTACTGCTGCATACATGATGTCCATCCAACCTTTGAATGTTGCCTAGAGTGAGAGATTATGAAAAGTGTGTTGAACTTTGACCACAAAAGTCTTCACATAATTTGCAATATCCAAATGATGCTGACTGGAGCACGAGCTTTTGTTATGATCACACACAAAGAGCACCGAGGTCAGGCCACTGCTTTATGTGGGGCATTCTCAGCCTCATTAGGAGATGAAAGCTGGCAAGGGTGGGACAGAACATGGTGTTCTAGAATGCTGACAGAGCAAACCTTCATTAGCATGGTACTAAAGGCCTTGCAGCCCTCATTGCTGAACAAATCCATATTTCAACGGAACAGGTCGATATTTGCCCCAGATTTTCTTCTGAGATTGACTCCATTTCTCAGGATCGTGAACCTGCTGGAGGCTGAAACAGCCATTGCCCACCAGATGCTTACTTTGTCATCTGCAAAATCACAGCAGGGTCTCATTTGTCCCCCTTTTCCCATTTGTGTGCCTGAACAGCCAGTTACATGGAAAGGGCAATCTGTGTTATATTTCACTCTTTGCATCACCCACAGAGATAAATTAGGAGATGGCAGAAGGTCAAGCCCATCTGACATGGTGCTTGCTACTGAGGGCAAGCAGCACTTACCACCTGAAGAAGAGCCAGGTAGCCAGAGCCAACATTATCAAAGTTGACTTTGACATTGACCCAGAATATTTTCCCCGTGTTATTGTAATTCTCACAGTCTGATTTGTTTTTGATCATGTCGTTTAATTTGGAATCTTCTTCTGTCAGGTTGACACATTTCCCAAACTTCCCAGCAAAGAGGTTCACTCCCATGATGCTAAAGATGAGCCAGAAGATGAGGCAGACAAGCAGAACATTCATGATGGAAGGGATGGCTCCCAGGAGGGCATTGACAACCACCTTAGATGAAATGGGAGAGGAAAAAACGTGCTTCAAAAAAGATGGGCTCAGGTATCAATGATAAGCAGTCAGTCGTCTCTGCAAACAAAAACTGATGTTTGCCATGTCAATACTAGTCACAGCTGGCAGGGGTATCTTGAACAGTGTCCATAGTACCTCTTAGGCTTTAAAATGGACAATTGACACTTTTTGGTTTGCTGTGAGCCCCTACTACGTAAGTATGCTAAAATGTGAGTCCATCCTCTTTTTTTTTTACTTTCCCTTGGTTCTGGAGTGGGGATAGTCCATTGGCTTCTTTGTTTTAAACTTTAATAAGATTAAATTTTTGAAGTATTCATCCATAAGCACTAGTGCAAAGGACTGTATTACTAAGACTGTCAAAAGTAGTTTTTAAAAGGACCAGTAATAACTCTCCACTAGAATTTTGTTGCATCTATTATTTTTAGTGGATTGGGATTATGTTTGGGATCTATAATCATGGGCTAGGTACTTTTTCTGTGCTAGGTGCTGTACAACCACAGAAAATGTCCATGTAGATTTTAAAAGCAAGCTAGGATATGACAGATTGCTTTATAAAATGGGACAGTATAAGGAAATTATGAGAATATATATTTGAGTTTCACAGTGAAGGCAGTGAACTCAGCTGTCAGGCAGCAAAGAACAACTTGAGGGACCAGCAGAAAAATTAAAAAGCTTTGTGAAGGTTTTGGAGACCATGTCACACACATTCTGCATAGCAAGACAGAAAGTATGATGTAATCTGTTTCAAAATTGACTCCAGACACGGAAATCTTGATACTTTCTGTTAATTAATTTAATGCCATTTCTCTCTGTCTTTACAGTGACATGATTGCAAGAAAAAAGATTTCAGTCTCACTTCCAGAAAATATCCAAAAGTAATCTATGTCTCAGTTGCCTTGAGTCTGCATTCCATTGCATGGATTGGGCTGAAAGGCACCTTAAAGATCATCTTGTTCCACCCCTCTGCCATGGGCAGGGACACCTTCCACTAGCCCAGGTTGCTCCAAGCCCTGTCCAACCTGGCCTTGGACACTTCCAGGGATGGGGCGGCCACAGCTTCTCTGGGCAACCTGTCCCAGGGCCCCACAGGGAACAACTGCTTCCTATAATCTATTTTAAATCTCTGAGTTTAAAACCATTCCCTATATACGTGCGTGACAGTGATGCCATATGTATTTCTATCATCTGTTTTCATGTGCCAGAGCACATTCTGTAGACCAGACTTTTGCCCAAAATACCATTGTGGTTGTCCTACTGTTTCCCATTGCAGTGTACAGATATGTTTTATCATATGACAATGGGAATCCCTCTCTGCATTTGCGCAGTGGTAGATCTGTAAGCAAATGTAATTAATGTCCAGCAGCATCACATTGTTCCAGGTGCTCCTTTGATGGAAAAAAAACCCCATCAAATATTCTACAGACTAGCACTCTTGATTTGTGAAACAAGTCTATTTGAAACAATAATTTGAGCAGAGCACCTTCTAATAGTCTTAAGTGTTTGTAAATCAATCCAGTAAAAACTTGCAGAAGGGAAGTGACTCTTTCCTCTAAGTTAGCTTTCCATCAGACTTCAGAAATGAGAATAGTGCTCATAGTTCTTATTCTCTACTTGATTTTGGCCTATCTTGGTAAGATAGGAACACAAGAATGACTAAGCAGCAATGGAACAAAATTCCATCTAGGCTAGTTTTAGTTTCAACAGGACTTAGGATCCATCACTCCAGGAAAGTGCATAAGGAACATCCAAGTACAGAAGAGCACAAGCCTCTTTAAAAATTCATTTTACAGTTCCTATATGGAACTCAGGGTAGACATGTGAGCTTCATAAAGACACAGCCATGAGTAACAAACCTGTTATGTTTGTTATCTGAAAAGCTCTGAAGTCTAACTTTTAATCAGTCTTACCCTCATTCCCTCAAATCGTGACAATGCTCTTAAGGGTCTCAGAGCTCGGAGAGTCCTAAGAGATTTCATTGGGCCAAACGAGCTGCCAAAGAGATTTATCAAAGAGACCTGAGTGGGAAGACAAAAGAAAATATTAGCAATGTCCTGTCATCTGTTTCCTTTATTTTCAATTTAAAAAAAACCAAAACAACAAACAAAACCAAATCTCCCCGCAGTTTCCATGCTTGGAGTGCAATATCCCGACACCATCCCTACAGGAAGTAAGAGTACTGTCTGAAATTTACATCCAGAAAATAATCAGGCACCAAAAGCAAAACTTACATCTACAATAAGAAAGTCCAGCCAGCACCAGGCATTGGTGAAATACTTCTTGAAGCCATAAGCCACCCATTTCAGAAGCATCTCCAGAACAAAGATGAAAGTGAACATTTTGTCAAGAAATGCCAGTATCATTTGAATTCTGCCTCTCTTCTGTAAATGGATGTCTTCAAATGCCTTAAATCATAATATATAGACAAATGGTAGAAGTCAGAAATGAACCTTATAAAATCAAAGTCAAGCAACATTAAGACCTCTTTATCATTCAATATGTTTCAACACAGGTCTAAACACCATGTGTTACTCATATGTCAGCTGATAAAAGTATAATTCTCCATGCCCCTTCTCTTTCTTTTTCTCTGTATAGTACAGCCCTGTGGATGCACCCATCATGCACAATGAAAGCCTGGGACAGTATATACTTTTAGAAATTTAATAAGAAATTTATATGTTTAAGAGAATACTTTTTTCCCCCAAGTATTAAGAATCACTTGTTTGTTTTAATGGTATAAAAACTCCTTAATATTTCACAAATGTGACATAACTTCCTGAGAAAAATCCAATATACAGCCAGAATAGAAACAGTTTATGAGATTTATGTATTTTTAGCTTTGCTCATGCTCTCTTATAATTTTTAATAATATGAATAATAGATTTGCAATAATTAAAATAGTGAATGACTGCTGTTGAAGCCTCTTCTGTTTTCTCCTTATGAATTCAAAAATATTCACTTCATTTGTTACTAAAAACGTCTCTGATTAAAACCAGAAATCCTTCTAAATAGATACACGAGACTGTGCTGAAATGCACGAAATGTGAAACACTTACCAGGGCTCCACTGCTCAGAAGAATCATGAATATGATAAAGGATTCAAACCAAGAGTGTTCGACAATCTGGTAGCAGGTTTTCCTCAGGTTCCACCATGTTTCTCCTCCAAAGTTTGCAGCACTACCCACACAACAACGAAAGTGTCGAGCACAACCTGAAAGTGAGAGACAGCAATGAGCATGTGGAAGGAATGTACATGAATGTGAAGGGTTGCTCAAGAAAACTTCTGTCAACAGCCACAGTAACTGCATCGTTGTTTGTTGTTTTCCCTGGTTTTCCATGAAAAGAAAAAAATTAGGAGATGTAGTTTAACTTGCCTTGTAGCTCCTACTTATACATCCATAAAGTAGGTGGAGCCCCTTTGGACAACTTTCCATTATTTCAAGATATTTCTGAGACACTGGACAGGCTCTCACTGATCTGATGTTTGGGTACACAAAACTTCAGGGCCACGGGAAGAGTCTTGATGTTAAAAAAAGCCCCTCTCACTTTCTGCACACTGTTCGGAAAGCAGAGATGAGATGCCCCAGAACAAAAAGGCTTGGAAACAGAGGGGGAAACAGTTGTCTTCAATATTGCAGCCTTATACCATGCCTTGAGAGGTCTATTCATCTATTCATTTACTTCCAAATGTATGGAGTGGTTCATTTTATATAATATAACCTGCAAATACATGTTATATTCTAGCTGATACATAGGCTTCATAAAAGGACACCTCTCCTTTCCAGCTCACCAGATTCCTTCTCACAGCAGACAGTGATGCCAGGGCCTCCTAATATTTCCTGATCACCTCTTTACAAAATCCTGGGTTTGATTACTTATTAGTTTTTCCGAGAATCTACTCACTTTCGCTAACTTTTTCCTTTCCGCATTCTCTGCATTAATTTCACTATGGCAAACAACGTCAGTCAGAAGGCTTCTGTCATTTCCAAACACAGTAAAAATAATATATACATGTGTCATATTTATATATAAAATCTTATACACATAGTCTTAACATCACATATATAACTCATTTATATTATAGGCCATAATACACACAAAAAATTCTGATTATTTTTATTTCAATAATCCCCAGTAATGTGGATCTGGAATGTGAGATGAGGCAGGGAATAGCACTTGCACAAGATAAGGACTGTGGGGAGGGGTGAAATCTGTGTTAGGTACAGACTTGCTGCACCTTCAGTTGACTTCTCTAGTGGTTTGGCCACTGCAGGCACATTCCAACTGGGAACCTCAGAGGACAAAACAAGGCATTTCACATTTCTTCTCTGGAGCAGGGCAAGAAAATAAAGAATCTTTATTTCTTTTTTTTTTTTTCTAACAGGCATGATATTATGAAAGCTACATAGGAAGAAATCATAAAAGTGCTGAACACATCCAGTGCAAAGCATGATGTTGTGTGATGATTTGAGAAGAGATTCTCAGTTTATTGAATGATCTTTAAGGACTCTTCCAACCCAAACCATTATTATCCCTGTGGCCACTGCCAGGTGAGACCTGATCACATACACTTCTCTTACATTAAACCCCCAGAGTGACTCGGTTGCTGTCCAACAAAGTGAAATTCATCACTCCTCACTATAACAATCCCATTTTTTGGAATGGAATCTATGCCATTGTCCAAGTCCTGTTTGGAAGCAATTTGCTTTAAGGGGAAAGGGTTTTAGTTTTCAGGTCTCTCAATCACTGTGTTGAATAGAAAGGGACAACTATTTAACTACTTTCCAGATAACTAAAATTAACTAAAATTAAATGGGCTCAGCATCATTAGAGAAACATGTTGGGTGTTAATCCTTCTCACTTTTCAGCAGTGAAACCACAGGAATCTTACCTTCTGGAAAACATTGTTCTGGAGTCTTGAAGTCTTCAGAAAATTCTGGAATCTGCCTCAAAACATCCTCAGGATTTGTCAGATCGACTGTGCTGCCTTCAGAAGAGCTGACACTGTCAAACTACCAAACGAAGTAATATCAGATATTGTTTCTTTCTACATTCAGCTTCAAATGAATAAATTCATCCATGAACAAATAAAACTCAGAATGAAAACGTGGCTACGTACTAATATTACAAGTAGTGTTGGTAATGGAATAAACTTTGTGATTTTAAAAGCATATGAGCTTAGAAGTACCAATAGGTGCATCTAAATAGAGGCCAAAGCTTTATAATTACAATATCTATCTACATGAACCAGAGGTAACTGCCTAATCAGCTGGTAAATTGAAAAGCTTTTAGATTGCATATTAGGGCATGGAATCCTCAAAGCAGGATAAACTACTTGGACTGAACCCATGAAATCACAGAAAGATGCATTCAAACAGGAGAATCAGATAAACATATCTGCTATTGTGTCATGCACCGAGCACCCAAGGCAGCATTTATGAAGTAGGAACCCGGAATCATACCCTATATTTTCAGTTATAAAGCTTTTTACCATCCCATTATCTCATATACAACGTTTGATGAGCCAGCAGTTTGTTACAAATTACTTTATGCTTTTTTTCTTTCATGTTTGCATAATGTTGTTTTTTACTTCTTTGAATGTATTCTATATTCCAAATTACTCCAAAAATATTGTAAATTAATAACTACCATCTTCAATGACATAGAGAGAAACTCATTTCAATCATTATATTTCTTGAAACAGTTCCTTAGGACACAGGCAGACTTGATGGAATTTCCCACTTGCAAGCTTATCTCTCTTTTAATACCTTTTTATTTTTTTAAATCCTCCTCTTCTTTTTTTATGGACTCACAATTTAATAAATGGAAAGCAGCAGAGAGAATGTTATAAATTATTTATAATTACTACAAAACAATTTTGCAGCTCAGAGCTGCTTCTGGCACTATTCTCCACTCCAGTAAATCCTTGAACAGGAACATTCCTGTGCTTGACCAGTATTGGAAAGTCAAGTTGAGAAACAATTTCTACCTCTTTTTGTTCTGTTGATGATGGTTCACCCTTCCTGTCTTTTCCTGGGTAAAGCACACTGAATTCCTCAGAGGAAAATCCTGATCCTTTGCTCCAGTTGCCTGAATTTTTCGCTCTTTCTCCCCTTTGCCTCAGGTTATTTTCATCCTGAAAATAATCTGTGGATTAGAAGGAGTTTCTTTCCATTTTTAGGAGGGGGACAAGTCAGAGGGGAAAGAAAGATAAGATATGCATTGCTCTTAAAGTGGGATTCTACAGACAAAAGTCATAATATAGGATCGTTTTGAGTCTGATAGAGAAAGGGAAATTTTTCCCAACAGACATGAAGCAAATTAAGGAATTTTAGTGATCTATTCAGAAGTTAAGTGAGAATATTTGCATAGGAATTAAGATGGAAACTTAAGGTGGGAACTCTTGAGACCAGAATGGCAATTATGGTTAAAATAGAACTGAAAAATCCATAGACCACAAAGAAATAGGGTAATATATGCTGTGATATCAGAAATATGACCTTAGTAGAACCACTCCATACTTAATCTTAGTAATTTCTAGTAATTACTACACACAGCGAGGACAAATACCAAGTAAGGACCAGAGCTATAAATTAATGAGTCCATGATCATGTTCTTTATGCAGAATATGTACTTTTGCTCTTTTATGTACATAATACCAAAACAGTTGACATTATTCACATAATTTTTTATATTAAAAAATCCAAGTTCACCAAGGACTGCCACAATTACCTATGGGTTATGTAAGTACCTGTGTGCACCATAGCATTGGTTAGGAATTGCTGCAGCACACTCAAAAATTTATGCTCTTTATTTTAAGAACATGAAAGAATCTTGATTTTTGAGAGGCTCCAAGTGGTGATTTACCCTCGGTCTAAATATTTGTACTTTTGTTTCTAGTTCAAAATTTTGTAACTCTCTGGAAAAGGATTAACATATCCCACCCTCTTCTGCTAGAGACCGTCGTCTACCATGTGTGCATCCCTCTTTCTCTGTATAGATATATATACACAGTTCTACTGTTCCAACACAAATATAGAAATTCCTTACCTGTTTGCTGTATTCTGTGTCCGTAAATGAGCTCAGTTCATCATCATCCTCAAAACCCTCACTTGTGTTCTCCTCCTCAGCAATAGGGACACAAACGACTATGTTGGGATTGTTAACAAAATCTTTCTCAGTCCATTTATTGTTGTAATTCTCTTTACGGTTTTTTATTTCTTCACACCTGAGTCGAAGTGAGTTCTGTGCAGTCAATTTGATTTTCTTACTGTGTGCTTTCTTTAAATACCTGAGCTTTGCACAACAGGTGTCCCACGTCTTGCTCTTGACAAAGTGAAATCCCTTGTGGATCCGAGCAAAGGCAATCCGGAGATTGTTCATCTCTCCATCATCCTCTGTTGTCTGGAGACTGTCAGCACTGAAGGAACTCAGCAGTAGGGCAATGAAAAGGTTGAGAACCTGAAAGTCGTTAATTAAAAAATTAAAATTCTGGAGAGTAGAATTCAGATTTCTGAATTCTAACTTTGAAGAACACAGATACTACCAAAGTTCAGTTATACTGAGCAAATCAAAACAAGGTCACAAGGAAATGACAATGACAGATCACACTGTGTTTGATGAAATCAAATTCTCTTCCAGAAATGTCAGTTCCCATGCCCCTCTTTCCCAAAAGAGTTATTTAACATACAAGAGAAAACAGATCTGTGCATGCCAAATGCATTATGTGGTCAAAGCAACTTTTCAAAGGTTAAAATAGTAACACAGACTATTGTTATGGCTTGTCAGTTTAAAAACTGTTTCTTCATTCTTCAAATTCGAATTAAATCAAGCCTCTGTGGAGTTACTTAAAAATTATGTGGGATCCAGCTCAGGCCCAGAAGTTCCATCAAATCTGCCACACTATCACAAAAATCAAAACCAAGAGAAGCTTGAAGAGACGTTTCCTTCCCATTTTTGAGTACACTTAAAGAAAAGAATTTATAAACTTCAGTTTGTTTTATGTTTGTTTGGTTTTAAGGGAATGTAAGAATTTAATTTTTTTCCCTAATGTTTCAGTTTGGAATGGGATCCATGTACTTTAATTTTTATCATGTCAGAGTTGGTAGATAGCACCCCTGAGTCACCCAAAGACCACAAGCAGTGGAGGGTATTAGCCCTTCAGAGATCAGTTCATCATATCTGTCTTAGTTATAGACCTTAGGCTGGAATAAATTTCATTCATAAATTTCATACCTTTCTGTTCCCTGGGACAAAAAAGACAGCCTACACAAAGAGTGCAGGCTAAACACTTCATTGTTTCACAGTTAGCGTTACATGGTATGAATATTGCTCATTTCATCACTGATATCAATCCTTGCAGTGTGGAACAGGTGGGATATTAAACCCAGATATTTGGGATTCAGCCACAGAACAGATATTTCCCATAAAGAGTTGCCTAAAATTAATTATTTTCAGCAATTTTTTTTCTAATTAAGAGAATTTTGGTATATGAATGATACTGAGAAGGACATGAAAAACAAAGCTGCTACAATAAGGTATTTATGATTTGGACATTAAGAAATGACAGAATAGGACCAGGAAGGCAGGCTGTCCCTCATGCCCCAGCACAGTGTGTGAGGCTGTGTAGGTTTGCCATAGCACAATCTAGCTCTTGGGTATAAATGTGCTTGGAAGTGACTAAGAAAATCCTGATTTCAGTGGTAGGAGTGTAGATTCTGCCATTTGCTGATAAAGAATTCAAGACTTGCATGAGCTCTTACTAAAAAAAAAATTAAAATTGATTTACAGAGGGGCTTAAGCACTTGGCTTAATTAATTCAAGCAGGTAAGCCATAAGCCTCACTGATTATTTACATCCAAATCCCAAGATGTGAAAAACACATTATAGCCTGTATTATATTTACTGCAAAGATATTCCTCCTCACATTGCCACATGAAAAGGTCAAGTGATGCTGTGTGCAAAGCACACAAAATGGGAAAATATAGACAATGGCTCAAAGGTGAAAGGCAAAGGAGGCTTTTGCAGACTACAACACACAGGTAACTTTTACACCTGTGTTTAGGGAATCTACCTTTTGTTGACAAAACAGCAGCTACGTAGATTCTACCATAGGCAGGATGAAGAGAAGAAAATATTGGAAAACTTACCACTAAATTTCCTATCACCATGACCAGCAGAAAGACAAAAAGACACAGTGGTGCTTCAGCAACCACCATGCAGCCCCACATGGTCTCAATCCATTCTCCACACAAAATTCGGAAAACGACGAGGAATGAATGGAAAACGTCCATCATGTGCCAACGTGGCTTGCAATCTTCGCTTATTCTAGTGCAGTTGAGCCTATAACTTTTCCCAAAAAGTTGCACCCCTACTATGGCAAAAATGAAAATGATGATTCCCAGGACGAGGGTCAGATTACTCAGCGCTCCCAGGGAGTTACAAATTATTTTGATTAGAGTGTTTAAAGTTGGCCAGGACTTTGCCAGTTTGAAGACCCTTAGCTGTGTAGCAACATAAAACATAGTGTTAGACATTGGTAGAGATAACCCACCATTACACCGTGCAAATCCTGCAACGACCAAATTACAGGTATTCTGAAATATTCTAGCAGTGCAATATTTGTGGCAAATGTGACATTAATATTTCTAAAAAGCACTTATAAATTTTTTTTTCTACTGCGCAACAATGCAAACATAAATTAATTACCCCATAAAGGACCAGGCACACTCGAGTCCCTAATAAGTGTTTGGCCCACACAGGCAGGTGTCCATACAATGCTCTTGATGTAGAATATGGTGCCTAACTTACATGTAACACAAAGGACTAAAAGTTGGGGGTCTGGCTGCTGTAGCACTATGAGTCTGTCTTTTGGTAAAGCAATTTAAATCCGTCCATGGTACATGATATGAATACCTTAATATCCTTTCACATCTGTCTTTAAGTATTAGGGTTTTTTTATTAATACTCTTGACACTCTTTTCCTAAATTTTTATGCTTGTTTTAATATTTTTACAACAGTTTTATAACACATCCACTCTGGAATACCTTTTCATTTGAGTATTTCTTAGTATATTCAAAATAAGTGCATATATATCCTTAAACTCTGACTCTAACATCACAAGGAGTTTAAGAGCATGTTTCTTATTCTTAATGGCAAGAGAGAAAAAAAATTAATTGAAAAAAAGTAAAATTCTTGTGTCCTAACTGCAGACAACAGAAAGTGTTCTCTATTAAATACACAAAATTAAGTGTCATACAAGTGAGCAAGTGTGAAGCATTACCAGTCTGAAGGATCGTAAAACCGACAGGGTTCCTCCTCTTCGCCTTTCCCTCCGGTTTTTGCTTCTGGGCAAACTCAGTTCAATTAAACTCAATGTGACAATTACACTGTCAAAAATATTCCAGGGCTGCTGAAAATAATAATAGGGATCTAGAGCGATGATTTTTAAGATCATTTCTGCCGTGAAGATTCCTGTAAAAACCTGTGACAAAGAAACAGCAGCATCAGCCTAAAAGTAGCCACGACTTTATCTTATCTTTAGTTTATTTTTCCCTCAAATAATATTCATGGATGGGTTAATAAAACCCATTTTTATGAAGTCCTAATGTGCTTTTAAGTAAAAGGGGAGGGTTGTTTTCTGCCTTCTTGGGATCATGTCAAAGTGCATAAATACAAAAACAAAATCAAGGAATTGTCTATATTAGAAACAAAGCTTATAAATGCAGAGTTTGCTAATTTTTACTGTTGCTCTTTATGTCTCAAGGGAAAACAACCATCAATCAATTAATTAATCCTATAAAATGTTGCATAGCTGAAAAATTACTTACCAAGTTGCCTACTTTAAGCATGAATTTAAAAGTATCTGACATATTATTGTGCTCCAGTGCCATGAACAGAGTGTTCATCACAATGCAAACAGTGATAGCGAGATCAAAAAAAGGATCCTTTATGAAAGCAGCCACTTTTTTCTTGATTCTCAACCAAAGTGGACAACAGTCCCAAATCAGATACTTTAAAGCAAGATTCTTTAGGCGTGGTGGGCATCTCTGCTGAGCTTCTTCATGTTCTAAATGCAAAAGAAAACCCCACCATCATTAAATAGTTACCACTGAGCAAGATGGTGAAATAACAACTTCAAGCATTCAAAAGACCAGAGAAGAAGAAGTAAACCTCTCAACTCTCACAGAGCCCAAAGCTTCCCTGCACTTTCTGGCATTCATTTAATCATTACATCAGCTGATAAATGTGAAGATAAATATTCAGAGAAAATAGGATTCCAAATGCATTCATGAGCACTTCCTTCAAAAGCCTTTGGAAGGGATTTTATTTGTCTTAGACTCAGACTGGTACTACAATCATCTGACTAAATGCAGACTTTTGTGATGCAGAAGCTTCTCACTCTCTTGTAGGTCAGTAGCGTGGCTACAGCACTTCCCACCTTGTCCTCATGGAGATGTCTGGGACATCAGCTGTGTCACACCCAACAACACTTTGTCTCCTTTGACTCTCGAGGGAGTTTTGAGAGTCTATGGCAGACAAAAGAATCCTGACTGTAAGTGAGGCAAATCCAAGCTATGGTGCCTGAAATTTGGCTTTAGGCCACTTCTGTAGGAAAGGTCACACCATTTTCCACACCTCTCCATTTTCCATAAATAAAACTTGGGACAGAAGCTGTTCTGTCTTTGTCACTTGCATCTTTTTGATCAAATATAAGTCTCATAGCCTTTCCTTCTTCATCATCAGTATTAACAAAGTCCTTCAAAACACTTTTGACCCTTAAGTCTTTTGCAAATTCATTGAAAAACTGGAGCTGACTTAATGCAAGCCCAGTAGGAATTAGTAATCTGGTTTTGAAGGACCTGAAAACTTTTCAGATATCAAATGAACTGGATTTGACTGATATACTTTTCTTAGTTTGACCTGTCCTTTTTTCTTCCCTCTGTTTAGTTTTCATTTCTTCTCTAGGCTCAAGTTCCAGATTCTACCCTACCCTGCTTATTCCAGTTTGGTCCTTTACTCAGCCTTCACTCCAGGTCTAGCTCATCTTCCATTCTCCTGCATCACTTGACTTTTTCTTTATGAATACATTGTGGATCCAGCAGAACTGGTGTTTAGGTCCCAGTAAAGATCCTTTCTGATGCCTGTTCTCAGGTTAATATGCAGCCACTTAGAGCTGTAAGTCCTGTTGCATCCCAGTTCACAGCTGAAACTGTGCAACAAAACCCAGATCTTTGGTGAATTACACTGCAAAGCAAAACTCAACTGGATGTGTTGCAGCTGTGATTCTCCTGAGAAAATGTTTTTAAAAAAATTAAGAAAAGAGACCTCCCTGCCACAGGGTACCCCCCTGCTAAATCCCATACTTGTGGTCCAAAAGCTGGTGGTAGAGCTCCTCAACAGGGACAAAACAAAACAAAACAAAACACCATCCTGAACAACTTGAACTGAAATTTTTCGGGAAGATCTGCAACAAAACCATCAGTCATCAAAATTACTGTCATTGATTAACAACCCCCCAAAAAAAAAATTCACATGGAAAGGTAAGTTAAAGGAATAAAAAAAATTGTGAGGTGAGATATTAGAAATTTGGGAATTGCCACAACTAATTTTAATTGCATAATCTTATTAATTGCTGGATTCTGCATGCCTGTGTGTTTGCTAGTGACATAGCAGAAATCACAGGAGGAAAAACTAGTGTCCCAGTCCTGCAGGTCAGATGCTAAACAAAATTCTTACACCCGCTCTCACTCCAACCCCCTTCACAGTCTGTCCTACAAAATGAGCTTTTACAATGGGCAAAGGATATGTTCCAGTACATAAAGGCTGTGTGATAATGCATTTTTTTCTAAAAAGGAGCCAGATTAACAATGAAATTCCTCACCACATACCTACAGTTCTCTGTTAACCTTTAAGCAATATTTTTTTTTTCTTTCATGGCAGCACTACTTCAGGATTGAAATAAACGTTTTGAAGAACCACTTACCCTCCAAGACACTGGTAATTATGCTGACTACACTTGCTGCCCTCTGTCTCTGAAGAGCCTCATTAAAGTACTCCACTGACAGATGAGGAGGTAAATGCATCATGCTGCTCTCATCATGCACAGCTGGCTGCTCAAAGAAGTAAACATGATTAGGGAGATACCACAGGAATGAAATGAAGTAGGATGTGATGATGGGTAACTACGAGAGTTAATAGGAACAATGACACGCAGCCAAACAAATGTACCTTTTTACAAGATGTAATAGATGTTGAGAATGAAGGTCCTACTCTTCAGTAATAGAGGTGTAGTAAATGGATCCTGCAAGCGTGTAATGGCAACAGGGCAAGCACAGACCTTGGGAATAAGTGTAGGAGGGGAAATAGGCCTAGGAAATATTCAAGAGACTAATGGAATAGGGGAGAGATGAGGGATAAATGTTAGAAAAGCAACTCTGCCCACTTGGGGAACTTGCAGAAAAAGCTGCTGTGTGATGCTAAATGTGCTACGGAGAAAAAAGAAAAATCAAAGGTATTGCTCAAAGTGACACCCCTGGACAGAGTTTGGGTCAAAAAGACTCTTTGGTGACTTGTAATTTCAGCACTAGGAACCTTTAAAAATACAATTTTAATTGTATTTAATTGTGTTAATACAATTAATGAATAGCAGAAATATAAATTTTATAACAGGAATGTCAAAGTCTGGTTTTCAGGAGCTCATCAGACTATTTAAAACCAGTTTCTACTGACAACCTATAAACTCCTCACATCAACATACTTCAGTTCACATCACTGTTTGACATTGCAATAAAACTCCTAAGACAAGAAACCCCTGCCACTGATCAATAAACAATAACATGGAGGATATATTTAAAATAATATGTTTTTCCTTACCAGATCTCCCTTTCCTGAGTCTTCCATTACCGGCGGAAGCACTAGTCCTTCAGAAGACACTGGATCTTGACTGTGAACCCTGCTGCTTCCTCCTCCCAGCCCCAAAACCACACCATGGTAGTCATCCGTGCTAGCCCACTTGCTCTGCACACAGTTCGGGGTAGGGGGGTGAGAGCTGTGGCTCATTTGGCTTTGCCAGCTGGAGCGTCTTCCAATCTGTGTGCCCGACAGGGAATGGCACCGGATTTTGTGTCCCCCAGCACCGTGGGTTTCCTCAGCACCAAAATCCGTCCTGGAATCAGCTTCTGCAGCGGGTATTTGGAAATTGAACACGCTCCCATGGCTAAGTCTGCGTCTCCCCTGGCTTGCATTGGGACCATACACCAGGCCAAGGAGAGACTAAAAGCCCAGGAAAAGCAATATAGAGAGAACACCATAATATCATACAGAAAATTTGGGGAAGCAGTAAATGTTTAGAGTTTCATAACATTAACTATCAATCACTGCAAGTCCAAAACTCTTATTTGATTTAGATTTTCTGGAAAGGATTATATTTATATTTTAAAAGGCAGATAATAAAATCCTATCAGCTATAGCAGCTATTTTTGTGGTAATCTTTATATTTATATTTTAAGCAAGACATTTTAATAGACAATGAGGGTATAAAAGCTAACTTCTAGTAATCATTCACTTTTTTTTGTTTCTCAGTGTTATAGAAAATGTGTTTTAACTATTACAGTTCTTCTTGCATCCTTCACTTATAAAATTTCCTTTCCAAATTAATTTTTGCATCTAATTCTGCTTTATCCCAAACAATTTTTTATTTTAGAGACCTAAGAGTGATCTGTGCTTGTAATGATATTTGGTTTATGCTTTCAAGCAATTAATTTTAGTATTAAAATTGGAAAAGCTGTAAGAATCTCAGACTCAGACAATAGATTACCAACTTTCGTTGATTGTCTGTGGACTGTGACTTGGGGAATTCTTCTTCTCCTTCATTATCTTCTATCCCCAAGGACTTATTTCTCTTTTTCCTGTTGTTTCTTTCTTTGATTTCTTTGGTAGACAGAGAAGGGTCTTCAAAGGAGCTAAGTGACAGGATATCAATTCCTTTAATACCCAATGACTGAAATTAAAACAAAACCATGGATGATATTTTTGCTGGGTTCTTTGAATAAAAGCAGAAAGAAAACACTTCTGTGCTCAATATTATTATTTCCTGTTAACAATTTGTGTTTCACAAAGCTCATTAAAAATCTTCCAATATATGATAAGACTAAAAGAAAGAGCAGATAATTCCCCCAACATATGGAGCACTGAACAATTTGCTGTTTGCAGTATGTTACATGATCACATGTACTGGGCCTGCCAGAGGCAAAGTAATCACATTATAGCTCCTACTCCACCATATGGCAGATTTGCTTACAATAAAAATACTCAGTTTGAAAATAATGTTGTGTAATATACCCTTTCCACAAAAGAAATGCTCAAACAGTATTAAAATTCCATCTTTTCACTGGGGATCCTTCAGACTGTATTCACCCCGTGGCTGACGTTCCTTCCCATCCTGAATTTAGGACAATGTTTTCAAAACACAGGACTATCTTGTTCCAGAAGCTTCTAAGCAGTTTAAGTTACTAAGAGACTTTTCATTCAACTACAATAGGTTTTGGCTTAGATGTTAATGCAGTTGATTGGCAGAATTACTGTATAATTCTTTGCTCAGCCACCCACAATGGTGAAATAGAAGAAAAAAAAAATTTAAAACCAACTGCATTTTCTTTTGGAAGCTGCTGGTTGATGGAATTTTACATTTTCCAGATTTTAAAACACCCTTTTTTCAAAAGTAGCATCAGGCTTTAATGCTCTTTGTCTACAACAAAAGTCATTGTTTCACAGGAAAAATACACAGCTGAACAAGGAATTGTTCTGTAACTCTAGGATTCACTACTTTCAAAAGTTATCACTTGCTCCTGTTTTCATGAAGGATTACTATATAGAGCTGTACACAGAGAGCACTTTTTCTTATGTCTGGAGGGGGCTCTGAGCATCCTGGTCTAGTGGAAAGTTCCGTGTCCAAGGCAGGGGTTTGAAACAAGATGATCTTTAAGGTCCCTTCCAGCCCAAACCACTCTGTGAGTCCATGTTCCTATGTGACCAACAACAGAACACAGAGACTAATGCTCGCGAGAGAATAATTTATATACCTCTTGCTCCTTCTGTAATAATTCCATGGCTTCCCGAAATTTCCTTTCCTTTGCCTCTGTTTCAGCAATGGTGGCCTTGTTCTGGTCTTCATATGCCATTGTTACTACAGCCAGAATCAAGTTGACTAGATAAAATGAGCCCAGAAAGATGACCATCATGAAGAAGACTATATACACCTTCCCAGAAGCTCTGAGGGTCTGTAAGCAACACACCCCAGGGATAAACATTACCATAAAAAGTACCAAATAGGCTTTCAGTGTGTCTCTGAAATTCTTTAGAAGCACTGAGCTTCCTAGACATGTGCTTTAGGCAGCTTAACTGGAATTAGACCTTCCTTGACCCTCCTTCCCCGGCCCTCCTTCCCCCTCTTTCTCCCTTTTCCTATACCCTCACCTACACGCCATGATGACAATCAACGAGGCATTTTTATATTTCTGAAGGACAGTACAAGACCCTTTTAGTATTTTTTTTAAGTCCCTAAGCCAGCAGGGTGATAGAGCTGAGAAACACTTCAGCATCCCTTTTCTGGGAGTCACAGCTTGTGGGAAGGCAGAGCAGAAGATGTGGGCTCGATGACTTGCAGATACTGCTTTTATTTGAGGCTTCTTGTCCTCTCTACACATCTTCTGCTTCAACTATTGAAGATCAGTCCTGAACTATGCACAAAGCTGGTACCTGTTGGTACAGACGCTCCCAGTAGTCCTGGGTCATCAGGCGGAATAAGGAAAGAAAAGCCCAACCAAATGTATCAAAGCTGGTGAAACCATAATCAGGATTTGGACCAATTTTACAGCATTTGTAGCCTGGAGGACAGGCCCTAGAAGTAATAATAAAAAATTGAGCTCTTTTAGCCGTGCAGATTTCAAGGAAAACTTCAGTTTATGTATGAATTCTGATTATGATTCAGTTCTGCATTTTCATTAGATTGCAAACTAATTTTCTTCTCCAGGTAGTATTGGCTGGAAGGTGGGATGGAAAAAGCAGCACCCACAACACAGCAACAAACAACGAAGACAGACTGGAGTTAGGTCAGCATCCCAGGACAGATCCCTCATAACCACTCCTCATCCCCTGCCCCTCACTGCAAAGTAGTCACATCTCCCTCCTTGCCCAAAACTGCCCTCCAAAATTCATCTTTTGTTTAACACTCATGAGCCTTCACAGAGAAGAGAGTGCCTGTCCTGAGCCATACCCCAGATCTTTCACATTTTCAGTTCTCGCATACATACATTGAGAAGGGAAAGACAACACTCCTGGAAAGTCTAAACAGAATTTAGACCTGAATAAGCCAACTGCAGGTTCATACTTCCTTTCCTACAAGTATTACATTACCTGACTGTTTACTATACTTTGTTTTCTGTGTTCCTGTTTCTGCATTCAGGGAAAGCTTGGAATTTCTGCTTTGGTCTCACATGACTGAGCAAACATAGAAGTACTGAGGTAGATAAAACTTCCAAAGAATAAATATTCTTAAGTGCACTTACCCAGCACCAGAACCACACAGCAAAATATCTAATGTGCCATTTTTCTTAGCAAAATCATCTATAAGAAAAAAAGGAAAAAAATTTAAATGCAAAGCACTTTCTAGGCTGAATTCTCCATCATTGAATACGTGGTGATGAGTAACCAGTGACCTGTAAATGTGTGTGCACACACATAGAGGTTTCCCATGCTCACATTAACTGCACCAGATTGCAGGATGTCCTGGCCTTGTTTATAAACATTCATATGGTTATGTACAAATTTCAGACTGAATGCAGTCCTTAAATAGAGAATTTGAAAACACGTTATCACTTTGGCTTAAAGGAAGTGGAGAATTGGAGGCATAGGCTCAAACACAGTCATAGAATCTTAGAGTGGTTTGGGTTGGAAGGGACTATAAAGCTTATCTTGTTCCAACCTCCCTGCCATGGTCAGGGAGACCTTCTACCAGACCAGGTTGCTCCAAGCCCCATCCAACTTGGCCTTGAACATTTCCAGGGATGGGGCCTCCACAGTTCTCTGGGCAACGTGTTCCAGTGCCTCACCACTCTTCCTAACACCTAATTTAAATGTTAAACCAATCCATGGTTTGGTAGCCATTGACACAAACTCTGGCACAGTTCTGGCCCACAGTATTTAGTCTTCTCCAGTACAAACATCACTTGGAGTAGCACAGACCACTTCTGTTCCCAATGAGCAATAAAAAACAAAGCCCTGTTTTGAGGAGAAACAAAAAAGTATTTGGCTGTGTGGATATCCACCACTGCTGAGCCAAACAGCATCTCCTAACCCTGCTTCACTGAGAAATTAAGATTTCTCCATTAGGATGCTGGAACTGTGCCATTTGAACTCTTACCCTGTTTCTCTTAACATTAGTTACTCTGGTGCCTGAGCTATCCGCAGACTCAAAGTAAAAGCTTTAGTGCTAATAGCTAATTATCTCCATTAAGATGTGGGTTTCTTATCCCAGATATAAGGGAGCTCTCATGTATTCCTGGTGCTTCTCAAACCTCAGCTGTGCTCATCAGGTAGGTCAGTATGATTCAGAGCCAACAGGAACCATCAGCTGAACTCTACTATGTAAATACTCTACAAAGGAATGAGTCACTATCTAGGATACTTTCCACCCAAATTTTGCTCAGCTATGCTCCTGCCAACTGATAGAAAGTTTTTTTAAGAAGTCAGTGATTGAACTTCAGGGAATCATAACAGCATGTAGTTCTCCATGTGGAGATGGGAACTTCCCTCAAAATTAGGACTAAAGCAGCCCATAAATATATATATATATAAAATTTTATAGAAAACTGGGTTTATAGTGCTGTACATCCTAAATCCTGCAGGAAAGTCATCTACCTTGCATTAAACCTGTGTGGGCCCTCCTATTCCTTTTGTTTCATATTCCTTTCGGCATAGAATTTGAGCAAGACAGAACTTGTGAAGCAACATGGATTTTTAATTTCTCGAGCTCAACTTTATCCAGGCCATTGCCTCTATACAGCTGCAATAATCTGCATTAAATAAATAATAAAATGTAGATACTTTTGCTCTCTGTTTCTTCAGCATGGAAAATCAGCATTTTTAGCCAAACTGTCACATCCATGGTCTCTTGTGTGGTGTTCTAGTCACTGCCTGGTTTCTTTTCAAGTTTGCTTTCAATTAGGATTTTTACAAAATTCTGTACATGTAAATAACTTTCTTCTTATGTATGGTTTTTTGGTAGGTACAAGAAAAAAGTTTTTCCTCAAAAGTCTTGTCTACAAACACTTTCTTCCCCTGGACTATGAAGTTATTGAAGAAACCCTGTCTGAACAAAACTCCCACACAAAGTGTGTACAAACAGCAATCCTGGGTGGCTTCTCATGTATTTCAACAGTTCCCCTGGGAGAATTCTCATCTTCCTGTGTAACTGCTGCTATGTCTGAACTCGCTTGGGGAGATTTTCTTCAGTGATGAAGCTTTCTTCATATTTCTGGCACAGACATTCATCATTTTGAGTCTATTTTTTTCACATATATTGAGGCTTCTCCTTTAGCACAAGGCTCCTCCTTTCTGAATTGCCTCTTACAGTTGTTCCTCTTGAGAATGCTTTGATGTATTTTCAGATCTCTGCGGTTCCATCACCAGCCTCAGTCAAGGTGTAACCATGAATGATGTATATGGTATATATCTTGTATAAGACACAAAATAAGATACATATGATGTCAAGAAGAAAGTAATTTGACTTTTTAACAAATTCCTCTGTTTCAGGCTGAAGAGTTATTCTCACTGGGCAGGAAAATGAAGACGGACTCTTCAGCATGTAGTAAAAGGTGAACTTTAGGGAATTACAACAGAGAATGAGCTAATGAGTGTTTCAGTTATTGTTATATATTCAGGGAAACAGAGCTGGATGTTACTGGAAAATTTGGGAGTGCTTTTTCCTATAATGAAGGGAAGGAGAGCATTCCTGGATGCCTGCAAGCTGCTCTGGCAATAAAAAGCCATTACCAGATAGTTACCCATCAAAATATCAACCAAAACACCAACATAATTCTCAGCAGTGGTTATGCATGCATGCATAGGTGTCTATATCATCATCTAAAAAAGAACCAAGCAGAAAAATTACCTGAATCATTAACAAACATTTCATAGGTTTCCCATGTTTTGTTACCACACTCTGTAGTGTTCTTGATACACTTTTGTCTGAGATTTCCCTTGAAAAGCTGGAGGCCAATAAGGGCAAAGACACTCAGGCAGAAAACAGTCAGGATCATCACATTAGCAAGTTTCTTAACAGACTGGATAAGTGCCCCTACAATGATCTTGAGTCCTAAAAAGGCAATATAAAAGGGAAAAACGGGATGAAAAACTCAGATTCAGATATCATACTTGATTACAGTTAAAACAATGTATAAAAACCAAAGTACAAAAATTACAGGATAATATGTGGTAAACATATTTACAATAGAAGTATAGTTTGGATGAGAGTGACTAATAAGAGAAAAATATTTTTTCCTCATTTCATTGACGCTAAAAATTTTCGGAAGTCTGCTTAATCCCTATGAAATATTCGTGCAAGGATGAGGAAACAGAGATAGTCTAGTTTTCCTTATCCATAAAAAGTGAAATGCGTAATTCAATCGCAACACCGGTAGTTTGTGAAGATACTGTAAACTATAATGATTATGACAGAAAGAAAAGACAGAGACAACTCACTCTTAATTTGTATTTCACTATGAGAAAGAGTCCACTGGCTTTATAACTAAGGGAAGTCTGAAAAGGAAGCTGTTTTCCCTGGGATAGAATCACAGAATCATTAAGGTTGGAAAAGACCTCTAAGATTGAGTTCAACTATTAACTTAGCACTGCCATGTTCACCATTAAACCCCGTCCCCAAATGCCACATCCACATGTTTTTTGAACACTTTCAGGGATGATGATTACACCACTTTCCTGAGAAGCCCGTTCCAATGTCTGACTACCTTTTCAGATAATAAATTCTTCCTAATATCCAATCTAAACCTCCCCTGCCACAGACTGATGATGTGAGATGATTAACAGTAAAGTCCCTTCAATCTCCAAAGTTATTTCTGTTGAGACATAACACACAGATCAGCTGAGACAACATTCTGTAAAACTGACATGATAAAGTGTTAACGGTATCTTTAAAAGCATAATGAAAATAAACTACATGCAAGATCATTTCTAACACCTGATTTGTCCTGACTGGGACAGATGAACTGAGACACACTTTGTGTCCACAAATTCAGCTTTCATGTCTGAAATCCATGAAAGATATAGAGGGAAAAAAAAAAAAGGGGGGAAAGCCAACATTTTGAATGAAACAAAGAATGAATTGTAACTAGCAGAAAGTAAGATTTCTTACCTGGGACTACTGAAATGGTTTTTAAAGCTCTCAGAACCCTGAAAGTCCGAAGGACTGACACACTTCCCCAGGTACTAAAGGCTCCCACATACCTGTAAAGTCCGGATGTGATATGTCAAGTGGTTGAACAGGGTAAACGGGGCAACTATGTTACAGTGGTCATTCTTGGATGTCAATCCTTCCAAGTTTCTTTTAAGTTCAAAAAAACCTACATATCCAGGATTTGTCTGAAGATTTATACAATAGAAACCCATTTCTTGATTTTTAGTTTTCATCCGAGGTGGCTCTTGGCTTGTGCACAGCAGCTTTTTTGCCAGCATCTTAAATCACCCTTCATTTAATATATAAACAAAGATTACTCTCAAAAATATTAATTTCAGGCTTAAACACTGGCTGAACTGGTTTCACCTCCCTTCTGTAGTTGCATTTTACCATTATAAAGACTTGCTAATCACCAGAAAATGAAGCTCAAACTATGATTTTTGGAGATAGAGCTCAAATTTAACCCACTGCCCTGATGTCTATACCCATCATTCTAATTGCAAAGTTATACTTTCATTCATAGGAACAGTACGTCTGTATTTATGCCTAGCTATCACATTTCAGTGGTCTAAACACATCCTTTCATATCCACTGACCAGTTGGCTTATCTTGCTCTCCACAGGTCTATTCCCTTCTTGAAAGACTAAAATTTCATTGTAAAATAGTGAGTGATAAACAAGGGGGAAAGTCAATGTTCTAGACATTTTCGGGTGCAATTCAGAGCCGTGTGTTGGTTTTTGTACCACAGACAAAGCCTTTTGCACCCCAGCAGTGAGAACTTCAAACACAGAGAGCCAAGGCACATAATCCATATTTTATGTGTTCCCACTTACGCCATAACGATAACGCTGAAGTCCAACCAGTTCCAGGGATCTCGAAGGAAAGTGAATTCATTTAGACAGAATCCTCTTGCCAATATTTTTATCAATGATTCAAAAGTGTAAATGCCAGTGAAAGTAAATCTAGGGAAGGGAGAAAGGAAAAGAGCAATATTAGCACTTAGCACGGAAGAGACACAGTCAGAATATTTAACGCCTAGGCCAGCAAACCGAGCCAATGCTGGAGAGAAGTAACTCAAACTGCTGTTGATTTCAGTGTATTCCATCAGTATCTGGCTCATATGGAGTTGGAGACACTAGCTGACTGCAACCTGGACATGATTTGACCTCCAAGCTTTTTGGCACTCAACAATTTTTTTCCAAACTCTTTCACGTGAGTCTCCGTAATTTCAGAACCACAAAATTCCCAGCTACTAGCTAAAATAAAGATCAAAAATTTGTATCTTCCTCTGGTTTCAAGCGGCCAAGTGAATGTGTGATATGTGGTGCGTTATTTACTTCAGGCATGCAGCATCCCCTTCTGTGCAGAATATTAGAAACACTTAGAGGAATACAGGAGTAGAGGATTTTCAATTTAAGATGGCAATTATTCTTATTAATGGAAAATTATCAGTAAAAGCTCTTCTGGACTTAACTGAGTGCACTTACAATTTCAAGAAGGCAGTGATCTCCCTACAGGATTCAAAAGGCATTCATTTGCTAGTCAGCAAATGCACTAAGAAATTATATGGATGTAGTGCTTCCCTTTTCATTTGGAAAGTATTCAGAAATTATTCTTGAAATGCTTTTGAATGGTAGTTGATGCCAACAGCAGATTCAACTCTGACGTAATCTTTAATTCTCTCATAGGTAAAGAAGTATCTCAGTATCTTCTGGAGATATGTATATCAATACCATGCAAAGCCTTGTTCCTGCTTGCATGAGGATTTGCCATTCCCAGCCATTTCAGTGTCATGTAACATGAGATAGTAAAAAATAATTTTAGACCTCTTTTTAAAACTAAGTCTTTGGGAATCTTTTTCTTTGTGTTAGGTGTTAGAATTACCAGTGTTCATATTTTAGAAGTTTTTTGACGAAGTGAAAAAGTGAGATCTGAAATATTCTTTTTTCAAAAATTAAAACTGAGGGATAGTACATTTTAGGAAGGACTACAGAGGCACATATTTTTTGTGATTTAACACTGCAAGTGTTGGCAACACTCAAGATAAGAACTTTACTTTCTAACAGAGTCCTGCAAGCCAAGAGCTTCTGACAGAACATTTTATTAGAGCAAAACTCAGCATTTCAACATTATTAGAAAGAATTTTGAAAATCAGCAGCTTTCCATGTGCTTCATCAGCATCAGTAACAGTGGGAAATGCATCTTGATAGAGACAAAATAATTACTGAGTAACTTCAGAAAGTGGCATAACAAACTGGAGCAGTAGAACAGACATGAAGCCAGTTCAACAGTGGAACTTAATCTGCACTTATTCTCTCCTATAACACCAAAATTATTGTAGATATTGAGTTTAAAGACAAAAATACTCACTCACATAAAATAAAATAAAAATACATACATATAAATCCTAACACAAGGAACTTTCCTTTTAATTCTCCCACAAGCTACCTTGAGTGGAGGAGGCAAGACAAGTCTCAATAATTCAATCTAATTATAGAATTAAGAAATGTACATATACATACCCACAGATACTTACTCAACATACTTGAGTAATTTCGATGGAGATGTAGTCTTTGAGGACTCAGTCAGAGCCATGAACACACAGTTAGTTAGAATGGTGCACATGATAAACAAAGTGAATAATGTAAGTCACAGGAGTGAAGGCAAAGAATAAGACATTGGTTCAGAAATGTAACTAGATAGTCTATCAGTCTTAGATGTAGTATCTGGGTTTTTCCTTAAAGCACATGTAAGAACAGCATAGAGGGGTATTTGTTAATTTTGAGTTACTACTGCTGTTATTCATGGACTTCTGTATGCTGCCCTAAGCATTGCAAACCTGGTAAAAGGATCCTCAACCACTCCAAGAGTGGGAGGAAGGATGCAATTTTAATCTCATTTTATAGCATAGAAGTTAAAAACTTGCCCAAGGTCACATAGGTGGAGCCCAAACCTAACTCTAAACCAGCAAAGCTGTTTTCCTCTGAAGGGACAGCATGAAGTCTGCCAGGATATTCACAGGTGCCTCAGATGACTCTGGATGAACATGTTTAGCCAACTGTTGGGGCTGCCCAGCTGCTCTCTGGGACCTGCTGGCCCAGAGAATGGGAACTTGGGCAGCTTCCTCATGTGTAGACACCTAAGCTCAAGCACCTCCCTCTGGAGCTGGACCTCATGCCTTGTGTCCTTTTGGAAATCCGGGAGGTAGAAGTGCAAGGGAAAGATATCTGGCTTTTCCATTATCCATCCTCTCCATCCCCCCCCCCCCAAAAAAAAATAAAATTCCTGACTTCAGCACTAGACATGGTTAAACTGTCCCAAGGATCTGGACCCACTGGTGTTGAAATGCCATCATCCTACTTCTGGGCAGGAAAAGCCTCAGAGGCAAGGGAAAGATATCTGGCTTTTCCATTATCCATCCTCTCCATTCCCCCCCCCCCAAAAAAAAATAAAATTCCTGACTTCAGCACTAGACATGGTTAAACTGTCCCAAGGATCTGGACCCACTGGTGTTGAAATGCCATCATCCTACTTCTGGGCAGGAAAAGCCTCAGAGGCATCACTCTTCCAAGGATGTCTGTACACTGCTGCAACAACAGCTTCAGACCCATTGCAGCTACCTCAGCACCACAGAGCCAGGAGATTGCTGGAAACCTGAAATCCACACAGCTCCAGGAAACAGCATTTTTGCTCAGGTCTCATTCCCCAGTGCCAAACTGGAGCAGTGCATTACTGATTTCCATCCCTTAAATTTGACATCTGAGGTGGCATTTCTATTACTTTTATATCCCAAAGGCATTCCCTGCAACAGCATCCATGGAAATATTTACTTTTACATGCCAAAGGTATACTTTTTGAGTCTTATTTCCCAAAGAAAGTAAGTTTGCATGATTTTTCTTTCTGTGTGTTTTCCTATGCCTGCCTGCCTGTCTCAGCCTTTTCTCTTAGAACTGGCCAATGGCTGATCAGCTTTTGCATATGAGTTGAATTTAATTCCTACATTTTGGTAACCAGTAGATAAGAAAGAGGATAGAGATCTTACTAATCTTCTCGCTGGGAAAGGATCCAGCATGAGATACTTGTTTCTGAGACACCAGGAAATCAATATCAGAGCTCATTCTCAAAACACAAATCTGTAGAAAATCAGGATCATAAGCCCAATATTCACAAAACTATGTGTTTCTAAGTAGCACAAGAGCACCAAACCATTAATAATATCAGAGGTAATTCAAAATTAGAATCAATCTGCTGTGGAGAAAAGGTCAGATTCATTCAATGCTCTAAAATACAAAGGCATAGGATTACGTAGAGTTTTATAATCAAAAAAAAAGGAGTGAAGAAAGCCAATAAAAGGATATGAGTGTACTAAAATTTTAATTGCTGTTCTTCGTATTGGATGGAAGGGACTGAGGATCCACAGGGCACGTGTAGCAGTAAATCTGAAGATTGTTTTCTTTTTGTTTAGCACTATGAAAACCTTTTAAAAAATAAACAAACAATAATTTTTCAGGAAGTTGAACAGAGAACATATTTTTGTGCTATATCCTGTTGTATCAGTCATGAGTAAGAGCATGTTTGGTTAATTGGAAAGACTCTGTACTACTTTGCTATCCTTTCATCAGAAGTTGATGGAAGAGTTAATATCCATTAACTCTCAGGCTGCAAAATATTCCTTAGCGTGAACTTCTTTTTTATACCTTGGGATTTGCAAAGACCTGTGCACAGAACTAATCTTGCTTATGATTATTGTCTTGAAATAGAATGAACCTCTCGTTGTGTCAGGATATACAAAGGTGGAAGGAAGAACTGCAGCCTATTTACCATTGTTGACAGTGATCCTCTGGCTCTTAGACTGTAGAAATCAGTTCAAAGTTTTAACCATTTCTCAAGAAATAAGCAGAATTTCCAATGGATTAGTTCCTATTTCTTTGTTGATTGTTAAAAATTATATTCTCCAATATGTCATGACTAGAATATGGAGTTGGAATAAGTAGTTTTTAAGGATTAATCAGCAATAGTTTGAAAATAATTTTTATATTTAGTTATCATTTATTATACATAACCATTGAGATAGAGTGAAACATATTGTTTCAAACTATGGAATTTAAGAAAATGTAAAAAATTAATATAGTTTCTTGTGGATCTGACTCAAAAGCCACTTTCCTTTCTTTATCCATTTTATTCTTTCTGCTTCCACTCTGATTCAAATGTTAATCAATTTCATATTATTGAATTCTTATAATTCAGAATTAAGCTTTCCCTTTAAAGATTGCAGCATGTCACTCAGCTGTGCCAGCTGCATGCATTATTTAAGCTAGAAAGGAATGATAGTTTTTCTAAAGGGGTGTAAGCAAAACTTTTTGATAAATCATTTGCATAAACTTTTCTTTTACAATAAATTAAATTAAATTAAATTAAATTAAATTAATTTAAATTAATTAGGATTAAAATCCAAGCATGTTGGCTGGCTCTAACCTTATGATCTTTGTAGTAGGGGTCAAGATCTTCCAGTGGTTCCCCGATGAGCTCTGGAGGAGGATTTCCATAGAGAGCTGGTAACTTCTGGAAAGCTTTCAGGTCAAGCTGGGGACGTGGCTTCACCTCAGGTTTCTGCTCTATAGTATTTCTTCGACAATTCTTCTTGGCAGCAATTCTCTTTCTGATGGCAGCCAAGGATTCCTGAGTGAACTTGCGGAAGTTGTTGGTACCAGGTAGTAAGAATTCAGCCATTTTTCATTCCTCTCTTCCTGTCACTAATTCTGTCCAAATAACAGAGACAAGTATAAAGTAAGTAACTCCAAAACAGGTAAGTTATGGAAATTAAATAGTTGGTTGTCCATGCATGGCTAATAACATCAACTTTCTGAGCCATCAGCTCCTAAAAATAATTTTAAAAAAGATATGATCAATATCTTTTTCAGGGAGAAGTCTGTTCATTTTTTTTTTAATTATAAGTAGTGATAGAATGTAAGCAGACTTCTAGAAACTTAAGAGTGTATTTAGAGCACTTCGTTTGAAATACCTATTATCCTAAATGTTCTTGAGCTGTTGTTCGGGGGAAAAAACCAACCAAACAAACACCACCCCCCCCCCCACACACACAGAAAGATATTGGTTTCAACAAATATTTGGAAATGGGATAGTAACCCTCATCAATCTGCCACAACATCAAATATGTGGAAGCTGTTGGCAACAGGAGGACCAAGTATTACATTAACTAGTGCAGATGTAGATACTCAGGTGGAAAGCCCATCCTGGTGGAGTCAGCACAGGAACAAGCAGTGTCCCAGTGTCAGAAGATTTAATATGTGACCCCTTGAGTCAGTACTGACTGACATGGTGGACAGAAATGGTTGATCTGACAAAGTTTATATTTTATGCCAACTTGTCAGAATAAAAAAAAAGTGACATTATACTAGGAAAATACTTTGCATTTTTAATGAGAAATTCTGGTCAGGTTTTGAATAGAATCCATTCAGTAAATGCTACCTGAGTTCATACTCTGCAAGGAGATTTCTCTAAAATATTTTCTTTGATTGTGACCTCTGGGAAGACATTGTTGACTCAGTAAAGAGTCACGGAGCTACTGAGCCTGTGCAGCCCCACCTGCAGAATGTGCAATGATCCCACCCACTCAAGGACTCTCCCTTGGATGGATCACTGCTGAGTCTGCATGGAGAAAGTCACATTAGAGACACACAGCCAGGTCATTCCATCCAGAAGCTGCCACCACCACTTCAAGTGTCCTTCAAAGTTAACTCCATAACTAGCACTCAGAGCTTAATCTTGAAAATTTCAAGCTGTCCTCCTGCCAGCTAACCTGCTCTTCCACCTTTGCTTTCCAGACACTACACACAACATTCCAGGACAGCACAGTGTGAGTCAAGAGGCTTTGTTATACTGGAAGCGGTTTTACCCCCTGTGTGCTGGCTGTATCTCCCCCTGCCATGGAAAGCCTTTCCATTTCTCCCCAGATACAACATGATTTCAGTTGACCTCACATTGCTGAGCTGCAGGAAACCACTGCTGTGAGAACAACAGCTGGAGGCCAGTGACAAACTAACTGCAGTGAAATCGCTTCAGTTTTGCTGCCTACCTGCCTCTCCCATTAGAGCAGCACACAAAATTATGAATATGAATAATAACCCTTGCTCCCAGCACAAATTAGCGTCATTTCTGGAAGAGAAATAAGGCATTCAGGGAAGAATACTCATTATTTTACACTTTTCAACATTCAGGTTAACAACCTGGAATCTGTGCAAAGTATCGGGGCAAAAATAAAATTGTAGCATCCACTCATAAATTTTCAAGTCTTCATCTGGACAAAGTGGTGTTTCTTTTGTTTCAGAGTAATTTAAATGTTGTGGTATCAGTAATGAGAGCTGTGGATGATGCATGAAAAGATGCAATTTCTGTGCAATGCACGGAGGGAATACAATAATTACTTTGCTCTGCTTTGTGCCAAATCATCCAAATATGCTCATCCCTCCACTTCCATAAAAGTTTACCTGATCTCAGAAGTTCACCATTAAAATTCTGCGTTCATTGCAGATTTCTTTGTGAGTTTCTCTCCCTCCCTTCCATGAAACCGTTTTGCAAATCCCAGAAAAGAAACTTTGATTGTCACACCATTCTCCCTCAAGACTACTAGAAGGCAGAGGAAAATTTAGGAAGACTAGAGGTTGTTGGCTAAAGCCAAGGATGGGGAAGTAGAAGGAAGCATGAGGGCACATAGAGCCTGCAGGTCCTTGGCGAGAGCTGGAGAGAAGGCAGGGGAGTCTCTCCTGGTGGTTTTATAAATTGTTCCACAGGTGAACAAACTTTAAGGAAAGGAAATCAAGTCCTGAGCTTGCTGCCTCACACGTCAGCAGCAAAATTTCCATTGAGAGCAGCTGCAAGTGATGGAGCGAAAAGCTAAACTACACTTCTCATTTGTGGGGAATTCTGAACTACTCAGCCTAATGCTGAATAAAATCTAATGATTATCAGAAAGGGAGTAATCCAGAAAAAAAATGTTCTTGATTCATTCACGTGTCTTTAAAAATATCCCCAAAATAATTTCTGTTACTCATAGTCTCAGGGAGGATAGCATACAAAGTACAGGTGAGATGCATTTGTTTTTTTTATGTGACCAGGTCTAGATGGAGCAATTTGACCTAAAGAAGAAAAAAATGTTAATGCAAACCCCTTTTTGCCCTTTATGTCGCAGAAGAAACAAAGTACCATTTTGGCCTTTTCTCAAGAGTTGAAATACCTACTAAATAGTGTGCTATTTAATATCTCTTGAAAATTAAAATTTTCTTATCATTTGACTGCCTGAACACCAGAAAACAATAACGAAATCACTATCATTGAAGAATAATAATATAAATTAAAATCCAAAACCAAATAAAAATTGTTTATACTTTGTTCTTTCAGCTGTAAAATGTATTTTCTATGAATTATTTCTCAAATACAAAAATATGTAGCAGATTTCCAAAGTGAGGCTGCTTTCTTCCAAATGTGTTTTCCTCTTCAGGAATACTCATTGTGAATAGACTGGGAAATAAGATCATTGTCAAAGATGTTTTCTCTCCTTTTCTTGCTGTTACAGTCACCCCAATTCAATCCCCATTAATGAATAAAGTTGTTCTCAATTATTTGCTTTTCTGGATTCATGATCTTTTACAAAAGGAGGTGAAAAATGTTGACTATTATTGTGTTCAGCCTGACCAAGGTAATTAGTATGATCAGAGTGGCCAGGATTACCTCATTATATTTTTTTGGTTTCTTTGGCTTGGAAGATTGCAATTCTTGACTGTTGCAACTGTCCCTTTGATTTAAAAAGGTTTTCGTAACATGTACAGAAATTATCTCCTAAGTAACTGGAATAAAAGTTATTTGAATACTGCATGTGAAAATCCTTATCCTAAAGGAACAGCTGAATTTTTGTTATTATTGTCTTTGGTGAAGGCAATTTCTGCATACTTTTGCATGTTATTCAGAGATAATATCCAGTGCTTGGAGGAGTAAAGTTAGGGGCTCTAGACTGATCCAGATGTTTGTATATCCAGTACTTATTTCAGGAATCAAGAATATCAACATGGACCTTGGAAATCTGCACCAACTGCAGCACCCAAACTTACTATGGAACACTTGGACTGTGTTTCATCTTTCTACATCTGAATTTCCAGAAGACAAGACAAATCTTTGTAGATATGATTAAGGAAAGTTTTAGTTAACAGCAGTTCAAAGCTTCTCTAGAACTGTTCTATTCTTTCCTCAAAAGCATTCCCATATTTTGAGGCAGATGATTTAATCAAACCAAACTGACATTTTCTTAATGATCTTTGAGACATGTATGAATAAATTTTGTATATTAACACATGTAACACAATTTGTATATTAACACTTTTTAAGCACAGAAAAAAGCAAGTTGAAAGGGAGCTCAGGAGATCTCTCATTTAACCTGTCCCTCAAAATGGGTCAATCATGAGGTCAGGGCTTTGTGCAGTCAAATCTCCATTGACAGAGTCAACACAACTTCTTTGAGCAACTGTATTGGCAGGCAATACTTGACTGTCTCAATCCATTTGGACCCCTTGTTTTAGTTTATACCCTTTGCCTCTTGTCTTCCCACTATGCACCACTGTAATAATAAAAAATAAAGAAAATATTACATTCATAGAATCATCAAATGGTTTTTGTTGCAAGAGACTTTAAGATCATCCAGTTCCAACCCCCTGCCGTGGTTAGGGACATCTTTCACTACACCAGGTTGCTCAGAGCCCCAGCTAACCTGGCTTTGAACACTTCCAGGGATGGGGCATCCACAGTTTCTCTGGGCATCCTGTCCCAGGGCCTCACCACCCTCACAGGGAAGGAATTCTTCCTAATATCTAGTCTAAATCTTCCCTCTTTCAGTTTAAAGCCACGGTCCTATCACTCCATTTCCGTGTCAAAAGTCCCTCTCCAGCTGTCTTGTAGCCCCTTTAGGATCCTGGAAGATGCTCTAAGGTCTCCCTGGAGCCATTGCTTCTCCAGGACAAACAACCCCAACCCACTCAGCCTGTCATTAATTGGAAAGGTAAAAGGCAACCCCCAAAATGCATATGTCATACTTTCTTCAGCCCATTTAGTCTACCTGTCTAGCAGCCTACAAGAAACTTCTCCTAGGTCTCATTTACACCATCCAGTGTAGCTCCACTGAGATTGCCTGGAGAGACAGACCCTAAACTCTCTTTGCAATCAACAAAACTGTTCACACAGAGGAGCTAATGATGAGTTAACAGAGATTAAGACACATGAAGAGTGCTAAAAATGCAACTGATTTTTCTCATTGCCTATAAAAGAAGACTTAGTGTAAGATAAATCCTATAGTGGGATTTGCAGTTTACAGTTGCCAGCAATGGGGAGTGAAGGTAGCAAACAGTGTGGCCATTTGCAAAACAATTTACAAAGACCTGATTAAGCCACTTAGCATTCATCCAGGAAGGCATTTTGGGTGGGAATCACCTCACCTCAGGGCACATGTCTTGGAGTTGGACAGCTACATCTCCAGGAGCTCCACTGGCGCCTGCTGAGACCCCTTTTCATATTTATTTCAGGATTAAATGCCAGTTGACTATAACTGATGACCTGGGATGTCTCAAGCGAGATGACATAAATTCAGCTCTTCGCATTCATTACCCCTATTCTTCTCACTGCCTCAACTAAAGGACAATTGCTAAACTTCCAAAGATTGGTAATTC